GATGGCAGTGAGGGTGCCCTTACCCTCATACTCCGCCTTGCCCTGGGGCAACATTTGATACATAGTAGACATGGAACGAATATGTGCAAGGCTTGTGATTCAACTTGATAAGTGAATAAGAAAAATGAGAGCAACTCTGGGGAAATAGAGTCCTTTTTCTGTCCCTTCTGAATAAAAATGCAATGGAAATGCTTTTCCCTGTTTTTCTTTGTGACACTGACAAGGTTACTTTCTTTCCAGCAAAGGTCAATGACCTTGTGTCAAATGCCTTTAAGACAATAAAATCAAAGCTGCCTTTGACCTTGAGAAGTATGTCACTGTACCTATCCAATAAAGATACTGAATTCATCTTGTTTAAGCCTGTTAGGGTGAGTATCATGATAAGCGATACAAATGTTGGTCGGCCCCTTCTAATGTTCTTGCCACACGTGCATACTGCCTGTTCTATGCTGCCTGTAGACCACTGAAATTGGCAGTATACGAGCCTCATTTGGTTGATGAGTGATCACTGTGGTTCTTGAGAGGATACACTTGCATCCAGAGGATACTATATATATATAAAAATAGATAGATGAGAGATTAATTGGTCCTTAGGGTTGGGGGAGAGGGAGAAGGAGAACTCTTCAAGAGCCAGACTCAATGAGACTGCCTCCCTTGGGTGCAGTCATGACATAGTCTCTCCTTAGTGTTAATGGAAGATCTTTGACTTTTTTTTCTACATTACAATGGTTTCTACATTACAATGGTTCTGACTGGAGCGCGCGCACCCACACACACACAAGCACACACACTCACCCTTCAAAATATTCATGGAAAAGTGATGTTATCTTTCACTTTCATTGTTCTGGAAGTCCCTGATAATGCATACCAAAAAACAGACCCTCTGCTGTTCAGTTGTGTAGGGAGAATTTTAAGGCTATAATCCTTGTGAAAACAACCTGTGCTCTCTTTTCTTCAGCTGGTGGGTTCAAACCACTGACCTTTTGGTTAGCAGCTGTTTGCTTTTAACCACTCCACCACCAGGGGTCCATATAGCAGAGGACTTCAGAACCTTGAAGGATGGAATGAAATAGTAATGGGCTTTTTCAATGAGTGTGTTGAAGTCCTCTTTTGTGGGCCTCAGGTACACATTTTTTTTTTTTTTGGCCACCCTCACATTGTCTTAGATTTTTAACATGTTGCTGTTGAAAGCAGAAATTAGCAAGTAAATAAATGGAAAGGTCTTGTCTCACTTAGATTTGGCCCAACACTCGAGAGATTTCGGGGGTGGATCCTGCCTCACTGGTGGGCGGTGGGAATATGCGCAGTGGACACCGAGGGCACAATGCTAGCGCACATTTGGGACTCAGAATGGCAGCTCTGGGTTGAGCTCACATGTTTAGCCAATGCTTTGGTTGATAAAGTACAGCAGTCCCTGGGACCTTTAATAGCACTGTGTAAGAAACTGGTGTCTGAGACTTCCTATTCTCAGGGGGTTGCTGGAGTTGAGTTTTTCCGGGAAGCACTCACTACCCAGCAGACCTTAGTTGTGCTAGCTAGTGCAGGGGGGGGCTCTCCAGGAGAGGCGTTTGGAGTTCCATCACAATGAACTGTTCTGCTGGTTTAAGACAACTTTTATGTTTTCAGCTGCTTGTTTAATGTGATTTCTTCTTCTTAAGAATAACATTCAGCAAGCCTTCCAGAAGGTCCAGGCCTTAGTAAGGGATGAGTTCAGCCCTGAGGACAGCCGGCTCATCTTCTGCCCCACCGTGGAGCAGGTAGGTAGGCCAGCCCACAGAGGAGCCTGGCTGCTCTCCTCCCTCCTGGGCGGTTTGCCTCGGGTAGATGATGTCTGTGAGCAAGCAGGTATAACGGTTGATTCTGGAGTTGCGTGCCTTTTCAGTGTGGTGGGCCAGAACTCAAACGTCGCCTGGCTGTCACAGTGGGCCAGGCGTCAGAGGTCATCTTCACGTCACAAGGGGAAGTTGTCAGCAGCAGCCAACGGCCGACTCCTACCCTCTACCCTCGAACGTGTTACCAATTCCAACACCCGCCCAAGGAGTCATTGCGATGGCCACACAGAACTCACAGCCTTGATCACAGTTAAGGAGTTTACTAGCAAAGTAGTAGGTTGCAATTCAGAATACAGTGCTTGGTTAGAATCGCTTCTCAGCTGTGCCTGCAGGCAGCCCTCAGCCTGGCCTCTGACCTGCTCGCTCAAGCACGACTGCTTATAAGTGTCCCAAGGTGCCTCGTGCCAGGGCTCCTCTGCCCAGCGTGCTCTTAAGCTCCAGGCGTCAGGAGGCCCGCTGTAACGGACTTGCTTTGTGGGCAGGGAAGCCAGCGCATCATCTGGTTCTGCTGCCACTGTTTCTCTGCTGCTGCTGCCACTTGCTGTCTTGCACCATCTCCAGTGTTACAGCCCTGTCTCCTGATCTAGGAGCTTCTCAGTGCAGGGACCCTCAAACCAAAGGACACACTACCCTGGCTCTTCTCTCTTGGTGATAGTAAGACCCCTCTTACTATTTTCTAGGAGGGCTCATTGTAAGCTCAGTGGGCTGGCAAACTGATTTCCTTGTCAGGCTTGTATGTACTGTACTGGCAGCCCCCCACCCCCCACCCCCCCAAAAAAAAGGGTGCCGTGCTCCTGGTTTGCGTTATTAGCAGTACCGTCCCAGCCATTTTTGGGCCACAAGCAGTTTACTCGTGTAGCCCTGCCTGGTCATCTTGTGGATGTGCCAAGACCGTGGGGAGAAGGGCCGTAGGAGAGAGATTAACCACACCATAGCTGCGCTTTCCAACTTCAGAGGGGGGTTGCTTGAGGATTTCAGTGTTTTTTAATCCTTCCTATAACTGATGCTACATGTTGCTGTTTCAGTATTTAGTATTTGGAGCTATTTTTAGGTAGCTGAATATTTTCGTTTTAAAGATGAATGATAGTTGTTGGTACTAAGCCCCATCGGGTGCGTTCTGACTCAAAGCGACCCTATAGGATGGAGTAGGATTACTCCTTCGGCCTTTTGAGCTGGCAGGTCTTTCCGGGAGCGGGAGCGGATGGCTTCATCTTTCCCCAGCAGAGCAGCTGCTGGGTGTGAGCGGCCCGCCTTGCCATTGGCAGTCACACACTAACCCCCTCTGCCACCAGGCCTCCTGAACACATATGCCTGGGCCTAGGTTACCCTTTAAGGAGGCGAAGTGCCTTAGCCAGGAGGCCACAGGGGTGGAAGCCCTTGCGGTCTGATTTTGTGAGCCGCCTTCATGTTCGTTGCTTCCTCTCCCTTTGTAAGCTAAGCTAGAAATTTAACTGTGATCTATTGTCCTAAGGTCCTTATATGGCAGTACAAGTTGTTTTTATTAGTTTTATTTTGATATAATTTCAAATTTAGAGAAAAGATGCAAGGATGGTGTAAGAGACTCCCATAAGCCCTTTGTACCCCATTGTTTGCATTTTGCCCCATTTCTTTATTATTCTCTCCTGTCCCCCTTCCCCTCTTTTACATCACTCCCCAGTGTCTCTTTACCCTCGAGGGTGGGTTTCCCCATCCAGGACGCTGCTCATGGCCACAGTAGGACATTTAGTGCTGACATTAGCTCATCTGTGGCCCATATTAAAATCCAGTGATAGGTTCTCAGCCTGTCTTTGAGTTTTTCGCCCTCGCTAGGGCTGATCTTTGTAGCCAGGCCTTCAGCTTGGGAGCATCTCTTTCTTCACAGTGAGTGTCAGGTGGGAAAAACTCACAGTTGATCTTGAGCCTCTGCCCCTGCCTGGCAGGCAGTTGTCATTTATGGGAGAGGCTGGAGGGGCTTACTTGATTGTCTAAGCCGTCGATGTTGTTGAAGTGTCACTGACAGGTTCCCTTAGCCCTCAGTCCCTCGGGCCTGGGAGGCAGATGCATGGGGCAGATGCGTGGTGCAGGCTGCCGTTGCTGCCACACTGCAGCGGCAGTGGGGGCATGCCTCCATTCCAGAGCCCTTGCAGGCCGCTCTGCCAGCTGGTCAGGGCTCGTGCGAGAGTCAAAGTCCATTTGCCCAGTCTGTTCCTGGCCATCCAGTCTTCATCGCTTAAAGAATTCATCTTACACACAGCCCTTCCTCAGACCCACTCTGCAGAGAACAAGGTGGTGTTTGGTCTTTAAGCAGCTTCTAGCCCCCACTCAGTGTCTGCACACAACTTTTTCCTGTCTCCCTGCCTGGGTCTTACTGGCTGAAGGCACAGCGACAGTGACCCTACAGTGACATGCTACCCGAGGGCCCACAGGCCCAGGACCCAGTGCTGATCAGGAGCAGGCCAGCACGGTGCCTCCAACCAGTTAGTGCGCGACAGCGTGTGAGGAGTGGAAACCGTACCAGCAGCCCTGAGCCAGGTCGACTCCCCGTGACTCAGAGTAGCACTGAACTCTGTGGAACTGACAGGGATCTGGGATTTTGGCAGTAGGTTTCTTCTGAGCTGCCTCTGGGTGGATTAGAACCACCAGCCTTTTGGCCAGGAACTAAGTGCTTACTTTACCCAGGGACTCCACACATGTACCAGTCCCTTAAAAATCTCTCCTCCTGAGACTTTCTCTCCTAGAACCATGGCCCAGTTTCTCTGTAACTTGGTGGAGAAGGCCCCGGGGATGGTAAACGCTGCTGTGACTTATTCGAAGCCTCGATTGGCCACATTTTGGCACTATGCCAGGGTGGAGCTGGTTCCTCCAACCCCTGCTGAGATCCCTGCAGCTATTCAGAGCCTGAAAAAAGTAGTCAATAGTGCTAAGACTGGTCGCTTCAAACAGCTCACAGTTAAGGAAGCTCTGCTGAATGGTTTGGTGGCCACCGAGGTGTGGATGTGGTTTTACATTGGCGAGATCATAGGCAAACGAGGCATCATTGGCTATGATGTTTGAAGACCAGTCTTTAACATCTGATTATGTTTGGTTTGCTATTTGAGTTTTCTTGGACCACGTGTGATCCGTCTACTCTAATAAAATAGATCATCTAAAAAAAAAAAAAATCTCTCCTCCTGGCTTTGAGGGGAGAACAACTTCCACAGCAGACCTAACCTGGCCTTTACTCTGCTTTGCAGCTGAACATACTGTTGTCGGGTTCGAAATAGCCGGGCCAGCCAGCGGGGTGGAGCCCACGTATCCACGTGGAGCGGAGGCGTCTGCTGCCTGCAGGAACAAGAGGACTTGTCCGTGACAGCAGCCCTGCGTGCTGCGCCAGCCTGCTGTGGCCCTCTGCTGGCTGCAGCGTGCCCTGCCAAAGACTAATCTCCGAGTGGAGGCCACTGCCTCGTTTCAGTGCTCACAGGAAATGGAAGTATTTAGGAAGCAGCTGTGGGTGGTGGGGGTAGGGCAGGGAGGGGGTGTGCAGTGAAATGGCTGTGACCCAAAGATGTGCGCTGGAAACAGTTACAGTTGGTAGTATGCTAATTAAAGGCAGAGATGGACTTTACACACACGCCACTCGTAAGCACGCTCCTGAGAGTAAGCTGTGTAAACGCCAGAAACACTACAGTCATTTCATCCACTGCACATTCCACAGCCTTTCACCCCACACCTGCTGCCCCTACGTGCTGTATCCACTGGAACGCTTGCCTCCCCTTTTGAAGTTATGTGGAGCAGGCTGGAGGCTTTCCTAGGAGCCCAGGGGGTTATCTCTGTGTGTTTGATGGGAGGCAGTTTAAAGGCGCCTGCCTGGGCCTTGCTGAAAGTTCCAGAATCTGTTCTTGAATTGCTGAGGAGCAAAGGGTTCAAAAGCGGGAGCTGCTGCCTCTTCAGAATGGATATGTGCAGCGTCTTTCGTGAAAATCTTAGTGGCACTTGTTGAGTGTTTGTGAGTGGGAAGCACCCATGAAGGGGCTCTCAGACCCAGCTCAGAAGGGAGGAGGAGCCTGAGGAAGGGCGGGGCTCAGGAAGGAAGGTCAGGGTTCCCAGCCCTCCACTGCCTTCCTCTGCAGCACTTCTCTGGAAGGGAACGCTTTGTGTGGTGTCAGCTGGCTGGGCCGTGCCCGGTGTGTCTTCCTTCGTGCCTATCCCTGGAGAACACTGTCCCGACACAGGCAAGGGTGATGAGGGGTGAGTGCCCACCCTTTAATCCTACCAGACTGAGTCAAGGATCCTCGAATACATCACACGCATCTGGGACTTCCTCCAAATGCCTGTTTCTGGATGGGGGTGGTGGGGCGGTGCAGGCTTGCCTCGAACATCACAGTAGTTGTAGTCTGCTTTGTTTCCAAAAGAACTGGGAGCACTTGGTTTCAACACTAGACTGGCAGGGGTGCCCTTCTGGGCTAGCAGTGGCCCTGCTTTCGTGGCCCCGAGGGATGGGAGCAGCCTGGTTCCCCACGTCTCCATCAGCTGCCTGTTGGTGGTGGTCATCATAGAGCTTATCGCTCTGTGTTTGGTGGAG